ATTATTTACAAACAATAAAATCATGTGTTATATTATTTATAACTATAAAATCATGTGTTATATATTTATAAGAATAAAAATTACGTGTTATATTTTATAAACAATCAAAATCACCTATTATACTTACCTCTTTTTTATATAATGAATTTTTATATTAAATTTAAGAGATATATTGAATTTTTTTCTTGTATTACTATTAAAGAAAATGTTAAATTGCAAAATTTTAATAAAATATAAATTATTAATTTAAAAGATATAATTTTTTCAAGTTACACTAAATTTATATAATAAAAAATATGTTAAGTATATCAAATTCAAACTTGATAATTAGTTTGGCCAAATCTTTAGCTGCAGTTTCGATTATATAGTGAATTAAATTATAATTATTTAATAAATTTCTATAGGAATTAATTAGTGTTGAACCTTAGGTTAATTAGTGTCGAATCTAGGATTAATCAGTGTTGAATCAATGGTGATTAATTCGTTGATTCAATTTATTTAAGTTCTATAATTTAATATTCCAAATTATAATCATATACTAAATTTGGATATGATATTCTGTATTACTAACAAATAAATTGTTAAATTCAATAAAGACATTATCAAATTTCTCATTATAAACCAGAAATAAAATTTATTATAGTGAGGTTCAACTATCTCTTAAATCGTCCGTTTTAGCGGTCAATTTGTTCGCTAAAAAAATTAGAAAAAATTAGGTGCAGAAATAATTTTTTTATATTGAATCGTAGCTTAAAATTGATCTGAATACCCCTGAAATATCAGGTCATATGATAATAATAAAATTACGTTATATTGTATGTCAGGTGATCTAAGCGAACTACAAAATTTCGAGCTATATAAATTTTGCTATGCTTCGGCCGCGAGGTATCCCAAATGACTGAACTTTTCAAATCGCCTAAAAATTTTATTTTAACTATTTCATATCTGAATAAAAAAAAGCTACTATATAACAGGAGTACGCTTCGATAATAAAATTTTATATTATGAATTAATTAAACTATTAAAGATTAACTTTAGCATATTTACATCAATAAATTGATAAATGTTGGCAAAAATAAATTCTTAATGTTCAAATGAAAATATAACTCTGTTAGTTATTTATTTTATTTATTATTATCATTTTTTGTATGAAAACTGACAAAACAATTACGATTGATATTACAACAAAAAGGTATATTGTATAATACACACTAAAGCTGACTTTTATTTGGTGATTTACGATCCAAATCCAAATTTTTTTTGCTTGCTAACCAAGTGTATTATTGACACAATTCTCGTCACTCCCTCTATTTAGCAAAATGGTTTTCAAATATAAACCGTTGATTTGAAAGGTCGAAATTTTTTGTCACCTTTGGTCTAGTTTCTTTTTTCGGTCCTTCTCTTATTTCTTTTTTTAAACAATTTCTTAGCTGAACTTCTTTTGTATCATTTGTAAGTTCAATAAGATCCCAAACTCGTTCATAGCAGAATTCCTTTTGCTCTTATGCTGATCTTAATGTTCAGGTAATTCGATAGGCATTGACAATTGCAATATCTAACAACCAAAAAAAAAGAGGCATCCAATTCCTTTGTACCGTTTATTATGTATTGTAGTAGGATTTCAATTAATCAGCAACATCTACGCCATTCATGTTGTGATTATAATCATCAATTACCTTAGGATTAATAACTTCTTTTTAGATTCAGAGCCAAATACTGCATGTACCTTAAGAATAAAAGAAAGAAAGAAAGAAGGAAGAATAAAAGAAGAAAAAGAAGAAAGGGAGGAAGGATAGAAGGAAATGAAGGAAACGAAAAGAAAAGAAGGGAAGAAATAAGAGAAAGAGAAGAAATAAAGGGAAAAAAAATGAGAGGGATGAAGGAAAAAAAGGAGAAAAAACAGAAAGGAGGAAGGAGAAAAATGAAAAATGAAAAAATGAAAGGAAGGAAAAAAGAAGGAGAAAAGACAAGAAGGAGGAAAAGAAAAAAAAAAGACAGGAGGGAGAGAAAGAAGAAAAAAAGAAAGAAAAAACAAGTAGGGGAAAGAAGAAAAAAATAAAGAGGAAAAAAAAAAAGGTAGATAGAAGGAAGGAGAGAAAAAAGAAAAAAAAGAAGGTAAGAAGAAAGAAGAAAGAAGGCAAAAAGAAAACAAAAAAGAAGGCAAAAGAGAAGAAAAAAAAAAAAAAACGAAAAGGAAAAAAAGAATAAATTAATTTAAACAAAAATAAAGAATATATGAAATAAATTATGAAAGGCATATACCTTTGCTACATTGGTACTTATTTGCCTTGGTCGTCATCTTTCTCCATTCTTCACTAACAAGACCATGAATCATTGATAATATCATCACCGGTCCATTATCTTGCCAAAAAATTGCTAATACTCTATTTATTGCAATAACAGAATGAACGTCCCAATCAAGTTTGACATTTTTATCTACCTTCAATTCTTTGGGAAACCCAGAAGCTGTTTTTTAAACAGTGCCAAAAGCACCAATGCCTATTTGTCGAAGATACTGAAAAAGAGGGATATTAGAGAAATAATTATCCATGTAAACATTGTATGAAAATCACTGATACAGAAGTTGCGTAATAAGGTAATGAACAAGACATCTAGTTTGATTAAGACCATATACTCTTTCTACATCATTTGGCGATACACACGATGTAGGCAAGAAAGAGTATATGTATCCGGACTCACACAGATATAAAATCTTAAAACCTTCTGGAGTTTGTTTGTTCTTTATTTTAACAGTATGAATGCTTCTCTCAGAAAACCTTACCATTATTTGGGGCCTTTGCAATAGAAAGAGTGAAAACTGCCGGGAAAAATTAATTCTACTTTTATATGCCAAATATGATTTTTATGCTGAAATATGTTCAAATTTAGCATTAACTCATTTTTGATTTTTCCGGCTGTTTCCCTCCTTTCTATTGCAAAGGCCCTATTTCATCTACTGAAACGTTCAAATTTGGTGTGTAAAGATGTTTTAAAACATCATGAATTTTGAAAGTAAAGGTTCTAGTTTATCAAAATAATTGTTAATCATGACTGTAGGAGAAGAGATATATAAATATCTCTTAATTTGTTCAAACCACTTTAATGACATTTGTTTGGAAATATGGTAGATGGGAAACTTTGAATCTTCATTCCAATATTGATTAAGTGAGGGTAATTTAAAGAGTCCTTGATAGATAACTAGAGCTATTCAAATAATAAGCTCTTTACAATCGATATTTTGCCATTTTCTACCAATAGCACCTGCGTTCTTTGTTAATGCATACAAATTTGTATTAACAACTATTGTGTCTAATATAGATTTTGGAAAAAAAAGAAGAAAAAAGTTGATAGGTTTGGAAAAATTGGCTTCATAACTTGACGGCAAATTAATAAATACCCGGTGTAATAATTTTAGATAAATAAAATGTTCAAAGTTAGGAGGTGGTGGTAAATGTACAGTTTTTGCTAGTCTGCTTCTACCCTTACGAGTACTTTTCGTGTTCTTCTCTTTGTCTTCCTCAAAATCTGATTTAACAAAATGTTAACAGGACGTCCAAAGTGGTGTATATTCTTCCTCTTCATCAAAATGTTCTTCAAGAGGAAATGAAATTGAGGCCAGAACACTTGGTCCTGCTACAGAAGACATGGCATTAAAAAAAAATTAAAAGTGGTGATCGGTAAGGTGATACTGTGGGAGATTTTAGATTATCCTTAAAAAAAAGATTAAATTTGATGATCGGCAAGACGATATACTTTTATTATTACTTAGGAAGGGAATATTATTAAGAAAATTACGTGTGATTATACAAATGCCGATCAAAACCAATTTTAGCGATCAAATTTGCCCGCTGGACGGTTTAAGGGATAAATAATTGTAAATTAAAGAAACATTATTAATTTTTCTTTTTATTTTTTTTATTTTTGTTAAATTTAGTTTTCTTTTTTTCCTATTATTACTATTATTATTACTATTACTATTACTATTGTGATTATTATTTTCCCTATATAAAAAGATATCTAAAAACAAATTATTATGGGTAAAAAAAACTAAAGAATGTCTTACACCAGAACAGAAAAGATTTTTATGTATTAATAACACTAGTCAAAATGGATACAAATCGGCTAAAAATCAGACAGACGATTGATGAATGATTGATAGCTGATTTAGGGCTGATTTGCATTAATTCCGATTAACACAATATGAATCAATCAGAAATATCAATCGGTCATCAATCGGCTATTTAAAATTGGCCTAAAAACTACCTAAATTTGATCATAAATCAACCTAAATCAGCCTAAAATCAGCCAAGCAAATCGGAATTAAAATAACTAATTTAAATTTTATTAATTTTATAATTTTATAATTTTATTATTTTTACATAATTATTGTGATTTTTTTAAGAAAAATAAAAATCCACTTTAAAAGTCTATTTCAATTGACTTATATAAGATTTATTTATAAAAAAATAAAGTAAAATAAAGGAATAAGTTAAAAATTCCTTCTTAAAACTATTTTCAATTGACTTATTATAGTGTATTCCTAAAGAATATAAATAAAAATAAAGAAAAAGGTTAAAAAATCTAAATAAAAATCACTTTTGATTTACTTACCAAGATGTGAAATTTCCCAAAAAATCACTAACAATTTGCTTACCTTAATTTCAAAATGTGAAATTTCCTAAAAAAAAAATAAGAAAAAGAAAGGAAAATAGTAAATTTTCACCTAAAAAGTCACCAATGATTTGCTTACCTTAATTCCAAGATGAGAAATTTCCTAAAAAATATAGCATAGTTAAAAATCCGTTTATTGGTTTAATTTCACGTGTTGATCAACAATAATCAACCAATAAAATTTATTGTAATACGATATAAAAAATTGCCGATGTAAAATATTTTTTTTACAATTTATTAAAAAACAACCAAAAATTTCACAAATAATAAAAATTAAAGTCTAATTTAAATCAAAGTACAGTATATAAGCAGTATAGAATACTTCAGAACTATTTAAAATTGGTTACATTTGTAATATCCTTCAGTATTAAACCAGAGATTGGTGACAATTCAATTCTTTTGACCAGTATGCAATTTTCAACAAATTCTTTTGAAAATTTTATAATAATCATAAGATTAAATTAAAACTAAAAGATAAATGGTTCAACTTACCAGATATCTTTTTCTTTAATTCTATATCAATTCCAATTTGTTTTGATATAGTTTTAACATTACCTAACTTATCATCATTATCATCTTGCATCTGAGAATCTGTCCAACTATCAATTTCTTCACTCAATTGTAACCTGTGATTGTATGAATTTGATAATTCATCAATTGAGCCAAAAAGGTAGTCAAAGCAATGTGGACAACGTAATCCTAAAATGTAAAAACAAGTTTCATGATATCTGTGTTTGCAAATTAACACATGACCATCATTCCATGACAGATCTATGCATTCTGGACGATCACATAGTTTACTAACTACTGGCCGATATTTTGAGTGATATCCTAATGGCAAAACACTAGAAGAAAATTGTGTTTTAATACCAGGAAAGTAAGAATAATCCTTTTTAATTCTTTTTCCTTCTGTTTTTAACTCTGCTTTGTTAGGATTTTGGTATAAGTTATCAAAAAAATCTAGATGAAATATAGCTGATAATTTAACTAAATCATCAAGATCAATTTTGGAATAGAGATAATCATGCTTTGGCTCAAAAGATTTTACGAATGAATTTTCATGCTGGTAATAATCTAGAAATAAAGCATCCCGTCTTAATGATTTTCCAGTGAATACTTTTGCACTGGTATGTCGACGTAATAAACTATGGAAATTTTCTACTGGGTATTCATCAAAAATGTTTAAATGTGTTTCCAAAGTATTTATTATTGGATGTTGAATCACTTTCCAATAATGAATGTCTGATAGAAATGCTAACATTATTTTATCATAATTACGCCTATAAAATCATCACATTGCAGTCCATAATCGAAATATTGTGTCAATGTATTCTTCAAATTGGTTCATTCGAAATAAATAAGTGTAGATATCCAGAGTTGCTGGTATCAGATTATCCAATAGGTCAAGAAAGGTAATATATGATGTATCTTTAGACATTCTGAATTTTTTTACAACATATTTTTTTATTAAGAGCCAGCCTTCATGTGCTAAATATAATAATAAATTAATTCTCCATGGTTTAGGTTTTGCCGCCAGTTTTTTTGTCTTTCCAAAAATTGATTTGTACATGCAATTAAAAATAGGTGAAATGTAATAAATACTGATTCACGTGTGTTGAGTGAGACGTGAAGAGGCCCCAGAAATGAAATAAGGTGTATTATTTCTTTTGGAATGAATAATTCAGACTCAGATTCCAATTTGTTTACAATTGCTCTTCTTATAAATAGTTGTCCCGGAAAGTCAGCTGGAAGAGGAATTACATATTTTTCAAGGTATTTTTTAACTTCTGGTAATCTTAAAAAAAGAATATAAGTTATTTAAAGTTTTTGTTATTAATCATTATTTCTATATTAATTTGATAAATGTTTGAACAGCTTGCATATAATTTTTAGTGTTTTTTAGGTCTAACTCAATACAATCTACTAATTTTGTTTGATCGAATTTTCAGTGGTATTTTTCTGAAATGTCTGCATCATAAGAATGAATCGTCAAATTTTCAATTAGGTCTGTATTACCATTAATCAAATATGCCAAATTCCAGTTTGATTTTATTGAATTGTAACTATTAGCTAAAGTTATCATTTGTTTTTCACACATTTTTTTAAGAAGTAAAACGTCAATGCTACAAGGATTATGGATAAGAGAATTACTATTAGAATAGTAAGGAATCGGTAAAGTTTGGGCAGTGTTAAATAATATAATTGCCATGTAAGCTATATGCGAAGTGGAGTTTATAGATAGGATAAAAGTTCCATGTATATTATGGTAATTATTAACACATGCGATTATTATATTATTGAATAAATTTTCAATTTATTTTTTTATTAAAAATTTAATTGATTTTTTTTTAAAAAAAAATACTTAATTTTTTTAAAATAAAAACAAAAAAACATTTATGAAAATATCATAATCTTACAAAATTTTGAATATAAGTTTGTACGTTGGATTGATGTTCTTTTTCAATTTTATCAAGTCAGTTGAAAGATGTTTGATATGTTATACTAAATTCCATCTTAGCTACAATATTTACATAATATGCAGAAGCCCCAGATTCTACTAAGAATAATCCAATAACAGATTTAGTTCCGCTCACTTGTTTATTTCGTAATCCTGCTATTTGATAGCAAAGTACTATAACCTTTTGTTTTAAAGATTCTTGAGTTTTTTTGTTTTTTTCTTTAGGATTCATTACCCTAAATAAAATGTCAAAAAATCCCTGAAGCTTAGGATTATGACTTTCTATGAATTTGATAAATTCCGTTGCATCCAACTTTGGTAAATTTCTCTTTCGATGGTCTTGATAAATAACATTAGTCATTCGTTTTATTTGATTATTAAAATATTCTGAAAATCGTCTAAAATCTATATCAACAAGTATAATAATGCAATTAGTAAATTATAAATATTTTAAATAATATAAAATAAATTAAATACTATTATTTTTCTCAGAATTGCACATATAATCATTTACTTTTGCTCTCAACTCTAATACTTCTTATTCGAGTTGTTCTATACTTGAAACATTATTTAACAAATTTTCATATGTTTCTTGTAATAAACAAATCCGCTTTACCCTATTGTCCCTATCATTATATGCCAAATCTCTCTCATGTGTCAGTTTTTTACTTGTTTTTGAAATATTTCTATCAAATACAACCAATTCATTATAGTATTTTTCACAAAGTTGGTCATGTAGCTTAAGTTCTATAGCCAGACTTTGAAATTTAAAGCCTTTTAAGGCCTTTTGAAGTAAATTTGGCATCAATTATCGAAATTTTTCATTAACATTGTCATTGCCACAAATTACACACAGTCCTATATTTTTATGAGGTCTACCCTTTACCATTATTATTAATAGAAGTTTACTCTATTTTGGGATCTTAATAAAGTAAGGTTTGAAGAATATATGTACGAAATTTCAATATATGTTATTTAGAGAAGTTGCATGAGTTTTATATGAGTGATATATTTCTTTTTTTAAAGTAACAATAACAATATAAATGCCGATTATTTAAATTAATCATATGCTATGTGAATTAACCAATAATTGTGAATTTTAACTATGCTGCTAAAAAATATAAGAAAAAAGAAAAGGAAAATGGTAAATTTTCACACTAACAATTTGCTTGCCTTAATTTCAAGATGTGAAATTTCCTAAAAAAAATAAAAAAAAGTAAAAGAAAATAGTAAATTTTTACCCAAAAAGTCATCAACATTTTGCTTACCTTAATTTCAAGATGAGAAATACCTAAAAAAAATAAGAAAAAGAAAGGAAAATGGTAAATTTTCACCAAAAAATCATCAATGATTTACTTACATTAATCCAAGATAAAAAATTTCTTAAAAAAATGAGAAAAAGAAAAGAAAATGGTAAATTTTCACCTAAAAGTCACTAATGATTTGCTTACCTTAAAAAATTTCTTAAAAAAAAAAAGAAAAAAAGAAAAATAGTAAATTTTCACCTAAAGAATAATTTATCACATTTTCAAAATAAGAATTTTCCTAAAAAAAAATGGTAAAAATCTTTAAAATAAGAAAAAAAATACAGAAAAAAGAAAGGAAAAGAGTTAAAAAAAGAAAAAAATTTTTTCAGATTAATCTGAAAGTTTTCTAGTCAATTGGATGATTTTTGTATTATCCAATTGAAACATCATTTCTATTGAATGATTTGTATCGTCTCTTAGGAGACGATGATGTTGATTTGAACGATAGTGTATTATTCCAAAAGGACGATAGTTTGATCATTTCAATTGAACAATTTTGCATCATTCGATTGGAATGATAAATCATTCAAATCAAATGATCATTGTTCCAAAAGGAACGATATTGAATCATTCTTAATGAACGATAATTATTTCAAAAGAAACGATATTGAATTATTTTTAATGAACAATAATCATTCCAAAAGGAACGATGTTGAATCGTTCTTAATGAATGATGATTTATTGTTCCTTTGGGACAATTTTTTTGATTGTTCAATAAGAATAATGATGTATCATCCCTTTAGGATGATTTTTTAAATCGTTCTTAATGAATGATAATGTATCATTCCTTTGAGATGATTTTTTGATCATTCAATAAGAACGATGATCTATCGTCCTTTTGGGACAATTTTAATCGTTCTTATTGAAATGATAGATCTATCGTTCCTTTATGACGATTTTTTAAATTGTTCAATAAGATCGATAATTCATTGTCCCTTTAGGACTATTTTTTAAATCATTCTTAATGAATGATAATGTATCGTCCCTTTGGGATGATTTTTTGGTCATTCAATAAGAATGATGATCTATTATTCCTTTAGAATGATTTTTAATCGTTCTTATTGAAATGATAGATCTATCGTCTCTTTGGAACAATTTTTTAAATTGTTCTTCTTGAACGATAATGTATCATCCCTTTAGGATGATTTTGATCGTTCAATAAGAACAATGATCTATCGCCCTTTTGGAATGATTTTTTAAATTGTTCAATAAGAATAATGATTGATTGTTCCTTTGAGACAATTTTTTAAATTGTTCTTAATGAACGATGATGTATCATCCTTTTGAGATGATTTTTTAAATCGTTCAATAAGAATGATGATTCATCGTCCCTTTAGGATAATTTTTTAATCATTCTTAATGAACGATGATGTATCATTCCTTTGGAATGATTTTTTAAATTGTTCTTAATGAACAATAATGTATCGTCTCTTTGGGACAATTTTTTAAATTGTTCTTAATGAACAATAATGTATCATCCCTTTGAGATGATTTTTTAAATTATTCTTAATAAACAATAATATATCGTCTCTTTAGAATGATTTTTTGATCGTTTAATAAGAACGATGATCTATCATCCCTTTGAGATGATTTTAATCATTCTTATTGAATGATAGATCTATCGTCCCTTTGGAACAATTTTTTTAAATCATTCTTCTTGAACGATAATGTATCATCCCAAAAGGAACGATTATCTTTATCCTTTCTTAGAAATGATTTGTATCTTCTCTTAAGAATAATTTCTATTGTTCCTTTGAGATAAAGTTTCCAATCAGACGATTTTTGCATTATCTGATTGAACCAATTGGAATTAAAATTTTGGCTTAACTCCAATCAACCATAAATTAGACAGGTTAATTTTTGGTTGATTAATGATTATGTCTGATTGACAGATAATTAATGAACGATTTATCACATGTCCGATTTTTTTGATTTCGACCAGTAAATGTTATTGGTAATTTTTAATAATAATTGTTCTTTACTATGTTTAAATAATAAATATAAAAAATTTATAGGAAATTAAAGTTTTGTAAGAAGCAAAAGTAATGCTAATAACAATACTAATACTAATACCAATACTAACACCAACACTAACACTAATGCTAACTAATGCTAACACTAACAACAATGCCACTAACCACTATTAAAAACTAATAGAATAATATATTTCTGCTAAGAATATTCAGAAAGTTTTTCAAATGGACAAAATGATATATCAAAACATTTTGGTAAGAATAAATAAATTATAAATATTATATTATTTATAATATTTATTTTTATTTTTTTATTT